AAACTATTATAATCTCAGCTTAATTTACTGTGCAAACTAATTCGTAACACAGCTCTTAGATTCAAAAGTATTCTGCTTGATTCTCCTTTCCAAGCGCAAGACATTGACGTATTTATGCGTGTCACTAACATAACTCACTACGCACTGCTCTGACACCTCTTCATATAATAATCCCACCGAGTACCTCATCTCGATGTTTTTTTTGTTCATAGTTAATCTTGCACTGCTTTTATTTCAATGTGTGAATTAATTCGATAATTTTACTTGATTGTTATATCGATACTGCACGATTGTGAAAGGAGGCAAATTGCTCGTCTCTGAATAAAGCAATCACAATCGCTAAACCATAGCAGATCGTAATACAAGACTACTCTCAAGTTTACAATACCACGTTCTGTAGTTAAATCGTCCACAAAAGATTTATCTTTTCTGCAGATCAGGTATATAGAAGTACCTAGATTCACCATAATTTGTAATTACCACTCAGCATACTCGTCACCGTTTGACAAGCGACAATGTGCGCTGCAATTTTGTGATGTTGGATGCCAAAAACGAGTTCATCACTATCCACATTACATTAGAAAAAGTGACAATCGCCTCTTTCAAAATGGCTTCTGAAATAAAGACGTTTAGCCATGGTCCTACAGATTTTAGCTTAGTGGTACTAGACTTTCACCTTACCGCACTTACAAAATATTTAAGGCAGTAGGCTGGATTGGATAGGAGTTTAGACAACTATCTCAAAAGAAGTATAAAGAATTGTCTCACGACGGTCAAATCCCAGCTCACGCTCCCAATTAGTGGGAGAATAATTCAAAAACTGGCGACTTTTATTTCGCAATGACAGGAAGAGCCGACACTAAAGAATCAGAAGCAGCGTCACTAGAAACGCTTGTCTGCGACAAGTCAGTTATCCTGGTAATGTTTCTGACACCTCTCGTCTAAGATACAGAAATACGAATCAATCGGTTGGTTTGGGATTGACAATTCGAAATTTATAAAGAAATCCAGCATCAAGTGAGATTGTACTCTTTTGTTCTACATGATATTCTTGTTCTCATCTGATCGCCTCAAAACAGACTTAGGAACCTAAAACAGAATGTTGATTACCTCGCCTCACGACAGCTTAGTTTTGCGGGTATCACTGCCACCGACCTGTGCCTCGCCCCCTGTGTCGCCGTCCTATTTACTCGATCGTTGACTACCGCGCCTGACATCAGAACCTCTTCTCAAGGGGTTCACGAGCTTGAATTTCTGTAGCTAAGGATTGCAATGGCAATACGTCATACATTAAGCTACATTTTTTAGCTTTTAGCTCAAATCGACGTGACATTGAGCGGAAAAGACCTCAAAGATCAAGTTTGTATTTTATGTGCAATAATTCAGTGAAGTCTGAATTTGGCTAGGCGTTTGTCTTGGTGAGAATTAAGTATTGTGGGGCTTGCTCCTCACTAGATGCATTGGTCCTGCGTTTGCTGTATGGCACTTTGAAAAGGATTGCGATAGTTTCTACTCCCACCATAGTCGGTCTGACTGGCTGCATCAACCCTTGACTTGATATAAAATGCCGGGCCGTTATGTTTACAGTAGTAGTTTTTTAAAGGCTTGGCGACGCAGCAACGTCTGGTACAGTTTGACGTACGGTTACCGCAATCGGAGCAAACTAAATATCGCCGCCCAGCTGCTAGACAGCATGCGCCACTCTGAGTGCCAGACGACTCACTATTTTTTCTGACGATAGTTGTATAGATCGATACCGCCTAATTGCTGCGCTAGTTGTTGTCCCTACACCAGTAGTCACCAACGTCTGTACACATGTGGATCCCGGCTACCCGTCTCGCCACCGAGTTTAGACAAGATGCAATCTAAACCCCTCTCGCTTCTGTGAGCCAACCTGTGTTCTTCACCTTTTGTGATACTTTCAGACGTGCTACAGCGTATCTGATTATTATGTTCAAACTTACGCTCAAATTTACACGCATTGAGGCATTTTATTCGTCTACACGTTGGATGATGCCTGAGCAAGATTGGACAACTCATGATTCACAGATTTGGTTGAGCATTACGATCCGCAAGTACAACAAATGGTGTTTTGTGGAAT